TATTTTAGAGCTAATGAAATATTAACTTATATAGGAGATAAATGAAAAAAATATTATAGATGAAGAAGAGTTTGAGGATGACTTTGACATTAATTATGAAGATTCTTCTAAAAACAATCAAAGTGATGATGAACTTGCTTTGGGTCTTGATCCTAAGGGGATGTTTTATTTTTAAGTGAGTTTATTTTAAATCTTGTATTTCAGTGATATTATCTTAAAACAAATCTTTAAATTCATAGTTGACATAATATTCTGTTATTTTTTGTCATTATTTATAATTTTAAATTAATTTATTTTAATCGTTTTGAGGCTTACGCCTCGATCCGCCTCGAGGCTTATGCCTCGCCTCGCTTAGAAAAAATGCCTCGATTCCCGATTTCACCTTTTAAAACCTTGCTAATTACAACTGCAGCTCCATCACTGTGATCCAATGACATTCATTGTAGGTGATTTGTCATTTCCAAGCAATACCGAGCGATACCGAGTACCAAGAGGTACCAAGTTCCAGTACCGAGCCTACGATTAAGAAAACAAAGAACAAAGAAAATGAACCTTCACTGCTCACGTCTTCTTCATTGTTCACGTCGTCAAGCCGCTCCCTCGACGAAGGATGATCCTGTCGGCTTTAATGCTCGCGTCGTCGAGCCTCTTTGTCGATGAAGGATGATCATGTCCGCTTCTATGCTCGCGTCGTCGAACCACTCCTTCGACTATAACGAAGAAGACGAACACCTATGCGAAAATAAAAAACCTAGCCCTCCAAAATGTTTAAGCCGCATAAATGAATAGGGATATCGAGCGGAAAGCCGAAATGAATAAGGCAAATTGCAACTCCTTTTTTTTTTAATAAGATACACGTGATATGTATCCGACACGTGTCCGATATAGCATGCCTAGTAAATAGGAGTATCCGTGCTACATAGCTCATCGTACATGGTTGACATGACCCTGACACTAGTATTGAGGTCAACATATGCATGAAGATTTCTATAAGGATCCCTCATACTAAAAACCTAATGCTTAGTATAAAAGGGGCATGCATTTTGCAACTTCATGGCTGTCCTTTTCTTTTTCATACAATATGATGTAAAATAAAATAGGCTTGTTAAAACTTGCCGCAAGTGACCAATTTTAACGCATAATAGATCTTGATATCTCTTTGCTATAAACATTGTGCAAAAAATCATCATTTCTAATAGAAATAACACAATTGACAATCAATGTTTTTTTTTTTTTTTTCCTTAACTATATATACCACATGTTAAAAAAATAAGGGCATCACAATTGAAATAATCTGTTTAAAAGCATTAGGCTGAAATATTAGTAAGGGCTAATCTACCTCTGAAATGACCTGTAGGACGTGGGTACTTCTATGATGGCCTCTTTAATGGATAACTAAACCAACTTGTTGAAGGCTTTGCATGGTAACATAACTCAGATGCTTCTCTTGGTAAATTGACCCCAATAATATAAATTATCTTAGTGTCTTCCCCCTCTCTTGGTAACTTGACCACCTCAAGTGAGTTGGTCACTTTCATCGGTTTATACAAAGGTTGCTCAACCAGCAACCTTCCAAAAGGTGGTGGGGTAAAACGCTCTTCATTTGCGGTTCAAAGGTTGCAACCTTAGTAGGAAATGAGGTGTCATCTATATTTAGTGGCAAGATGCAGTATATTTTCAGCCATCTATTAGATGAAATCATTAACTGATTTAGACGTCAAACAACCTATTGATTAAGCCTGTCCTGAAAACTAGTGTAAAATATGCCCTACTACATGCCAACAAATTGTCCAATATGTGTCTTCATATAATTACAAGTTCAGCTAGTTCTCATCCAAATCCACATCCAATAACATGTGGATTTAAAGCAAATCAACAGGCAACAAAACAATGAGTCTAGAATTTTAAGATAATGCGCTGGAGCAAAGGGTACGTTTCCCAATTGCAACTTGAGGTTCACCATATCCAAATCAAAAAAAAGTTTAAATCATTGCACAAAGGGAGTTAAACACATTAACACATCAACCCTTCACCCCCGCAAAGGCAGAATTTGCATGTTTTTTAAACCTTTTTACAATAAGTAAAATTTTGACAATAGTTTGCTAAAAATAATGGACCCAGACCAAGAAAAAGAAATCAGGCAACAAAATAATGAACAAGAAAGAACACTTTGCGCTAAACAGTGACTTTTTACATGTTAGTGAAACCATTGAGAAGAGAAAAACCCAAAAGCTGACAAAAATCTTATGCTAGCAAGTTGATTTAGGGTATGATAGGGACAGCTTTTTTTTTTCAAACAGAAACTATAGTTCGGTTTGGCTACTATTTTCTCACTATTTAATAAATTTTCTTTGCAGGAAGATGCCTTTTACAGTAGCATTCAAAGAATTTAATTTTTCACGATAACTTCAAAACTATCTTAACAAAAAGCTACCGTCACCTAAAATAAACTCTTAGTCTTCTTTCAGGAATGTCAAAATAGATAGGAATGAACTTACAACAGGGGTAACATTGCTGAAAGCTGGCAATCCATGCATCAAATCAGTCCATATAGTACTCCAACTTTTTGTAGCTAAGATGGACGCCTACAGAAAAAGATATGAAATAAACAATTAAAAGCAAAGATTTAAGTAACTTATCTGAAAATTGACCTTGAAGCCACCTTATTTAAGTATTGGTCTTAGGCCCACCTAATATATGGAAAAAAAATTGCTTTTGACGAATCACTACAAATTTTTTAAGATTCAACAATTCATATGTTTGGAGGATTCAACATGTGTAGCATGAGGATCTACCATATTGGAACCTTTTTTTGTTTATTTCAATTTCTTATCAAATTTACGATTCAATTGTCTACACAACATCAAATTTCATATTAGTGCAAAAAATAGTCATTTTTACGCTTAAAAAATAGATCAAAAAATTAAATTTTTGTTTCTATGTGTGTAAATTACACCATATTGATATCAAATCCTGTGATCTTGAATAAATAACAAACTTCTCAAATAAAAAGATTAACAGATAAATTTTATAGTTGATTTGAGTTTTTCATTTATTTATGAATGCTAAAATACAAAAAAAGATTGATGAAGAGGTGCAACAACGATTGAGCCAACACAACAGTAAGAAATAATAAGCAAGAAAAAATGATTAAAAAAGGCAAGAAGAGCAAATGTGAGAGAGAGGAGACAAGTTGAAAAACATATGATAAAATTATAATAAATCAATTTTAATATATTGATTTAAATGAAAGTTTGTTACATGTTTAATTTATTTCATTATAATATAATTTCAAGGTTGTTAAATTATTAACATGAAATGCATTGATGTGATTTACATATTCTGAAATACAAAGTGAACAGTTGAACTCCAATGAATGGTGATACCAAATTTGAAAAAAATTGTTCCAAGATTCTAAATTTTTTTTTTTTTGTAAACAAAAACCTTTGCTAGAAACTATCATTGGTGGTATTTCTGGTGACGGTTGTTCTGATAAATTTTTTGTAGGATAAATCATTATATTCCATGCAATTCATTCCAGCATATTTTGTCTAACGGAAAGGGTTCCCCAAAAGGGCTTGACCAACAAATTTATTTTCAAATCTGGAAACCTAAACTTTTGAGGATTTCCCCTTATTTTCCGATAGATCTTTCCACATAAAAATGTGTATTTTTTTATAGTGATTAAATGGCAGGCCTTCTGAAAGATAAATGGACAGAAGAAGTTCCACTTGTTGTTGCCTTTCATCATCTCATTGATTATGCCAAACATTATTACCTCCCAATTGGCTCTTATTTTTTAGATGGTATTGATTAGTTTTCATTCGAAACAGCGAATTCATATCAAGCTTTCTTCTAATGTTTCTTTGATTAATGCTTCGACTGAAGAAAAATATATCAATCTAGTTAATTATACTCCAAGATGGCAGGTCTTAAGCACTAGTCATTTCTCTATTAAATTATTTTACTCTTTTATCATCTTAAACGTAAAGCAATGAATTATTATCATTTAGATCATGAAATTCTCTCGTCCCATGTCTTGAAGGAAATTATCTAGTAAAATTGTTCTTTCTAACATGGGTCTTGATGCAAGCAAAAATTTAGGAAGGGCCCCCAAATTTTTGCAAGCAAAAACATAACTCTTCCTAGGATAAGAAAATACACAAAATACCCAAAACCAGACAAAATACAACAAATAACCAAAAACAACTCTACTTTTATAATATAAAGGACTTACAAACTTGAACGCTTACAAACGACACAAACATTAACATAAACTCCTAAAGTTGCTTTTCATCTGTTGAGAAGAAGGATACAAGTGGCTTCTAACTTGCGGATAGAAGAATGAGATTAGAAGCCGAGACAAAGAAAGCATAACTCGCAAGTTATCCTAGAAGAAAGAGAAGCTATAAAAGAAAACCCTTAGGTTTCTTTCCAAAAATCAGCACACATAGCATCTCTCTAAAACTCTAAAACAGCCCAAAACAATCATATATATAGGAGGGAAGAAGCAGCCCAAAGCCCTCAAAACAGCCCTCATAAATTGGAGATGATGAAGGCCAAAAGACACCACAAACAGCCCCCCAAAATCTGCATAGAAAAAACACCAAAACAGTCCCCAAAAACTACACAAAAAACAGGAAATGAAAGGCCAATGGACATTCCAAACAGCAGCTGAAAAGACATCCCAAATATCAGTCAAATACATTCCAAACCAGCATATAAGGGGCGAAACCAGCAGAAACTGAGGAGGCAAGGAAAAAAGGGGCAGAACCCAACAGGTTCTTCATGGGAACAACAACAGCCAGGGGAAAACCAAGAGGAGATGTCACGAGAACAGCAACAGCCAGGAGAAAATCAAGAGGAGAAGTCACGGAAATAGCAACAGCCAGGAAAAAACCGAGAAGACAAGGGGAAGGGAAGAGATACAAATTTTAACTCATTTTAATGAGCTTACAAGAAGAATACCTTTTCCAATTAATGAGCTAACATTAGCTCAAGCATTTATGAGCTAACACCAAGTAGAACTCAAATTTTCAGCTCAAAATCAAAGCAGCCAAGAACTAAACTGTGAGATAACAAGCAGCTCAAAGAACAAAATATTAAACTTGTTTTGAACCCCCCCCCCCCCTGCCTACTTTTTTTGAACCCCCCCCCCCCCCCCCCGCGCCTACATCAGGTCTTCTCAATCCCTTCACTTTTTCCATGTGAAATACCTATCAAGAAGTTGATTTCCATATCTTCTTTGATCATTTCACAATTATAATAAGATTTGGAGGCGGCTTTATAAGTTTCTTGACATTCATAAGGCTGTGAGAAGCAAAATTTCCTTCTTGTTGGAACACTTATGCTAAGAACAATTTTAAGGATAATTGAGACATTTTTCTCTTTGTATCAAATTCAGTAAGGAAAGAAATGCAAGATATTGTTCAAATGTTGCTAAATGAGAAGTTGCTTTGGCTCAACATCATTTCCCTTACATACTTCTGAATTTTCAATTTAAATGGCAACTAGCCTATAATCATTGAAATCAACTTTCAGATATTCAGCCCCAAAAGAATACAACAAAACTACATAAGATTATTGTGTAGATTGTAGAATTATTTAGCTCACTTGTTTTCTTAAGAATCCTACTTTTTATATAGCTTCCATTAAATATGTGCATTTCCTTTTCTTAAATGAGAAGGATTTAAGAAGTATTTTATCCGAAATTTTCAATCAAAAATTTTTGATCAGAATGGAACCATATATGCCTACTAATTGCCCAATTCTAGAAATAATATTATTATTAGAATGAAACCTTAGAAGATCACAAATTGTTGCTATATTATTTACATATCAAATAAAAATATCTAGTGGGAAAATCAAGTAACATATAAATCAAAATTAAATTTGATTTACCTTATCCATACTCATAGAAGTAGGTCGTGACTTCTCATCTAAGTTGGGAAATAGGAGGGCAGAGAGTCCTTGCATCGCCCTTCAAGAAAACAAGGAAAACACCAAATAATGAATTCAATCACCCGCATATTAAATGTTTAAAATTAGTACCATGAAATGAATGTTTAATGTGCTTTGGAAAAATTGATATATCCAACCAACATGATGAGCACTTCAAAAATTCCAAGAACTGGTTATGCATCCAAACTCATTGCACTGGAAGGAAATAAAACAATAAAAAGGGTCAAGAAATGTACCTCAAAAGCCATATCAAAGCTTCATATGAATGTACTGTGTTTGGGTTATTTAAAAGCCTGAAAATTAGATAAAACAAGGATGACGTATTATGCAAAAGCTTTAATCAATACAAATGTACTTAGATCACTGAGCTGGAAGTAAGCCAACCAACATTCAATAGTATGCAAGAATTCAATATGGTTCGTTTAATTTTTGGATACTAAAATTATATTTTACAAAACAAAATAATATACTAAATCACATTTGGTTGGATCTAACCATGAATCCAAGAGAATTTTAAACAATATTAAAGCTTTCAAGATAAAGGATTTGATTTTCATCCCAAAATAAAGTGAACATCAAATCATGATTCTAATACATGCTATATTAAGTCATGGCTTGACCTGACCCATGCAATCCCAATCTTTTGACAATGGGTAATCAATAATTTCTCTCCCATTATTTCATCTCATCCTCTATCCTTCAGGATCAAAACTCAAATTTCGAGTTAATGTGATTAGATTGATCAAGAATTTTCATGTACAAGGTATTTACTTCAGTTTAGTTTTCGTGAAAGGACTACTTTATGAATGTAACATTAATATTTGACAAAACATTGCATATTTCTACTATTACGAGTAAGGATTTCCAACGATCAAGTTTTGGAGAATTCATAATGCGACTTAAAAGCCTGATGCATGAGGTAAGTTCTGAACTAAATTCACATAGCAATTGATATGTATATCATGAAATCTCAATTTGGTTTTGTTTGGTAATTATTGTTGTGGTAATAAGTACGTTTAAGTAAAAAGAGCAACTAATAAGGCTTTTGTAAATAATTTTAGGTACCTACTATATACTTATGTACTACTTAGATCATCATTTTTAAGCTTACTACAAAGCCTTGCCATATAATTGCAGAAAAAGTCATTGTACAGTCATCACTTAATACAATACAAATATTTAGTAAGAATTAGTGATTAGCTCGATGCACAACTTGACATTATAAAATCCATAGGAAGGTGCTTAGCAAATCTATATTATATATTCATGCTATTATAGTTTATTACTAGTATTAAGAATCTTTAAAATTAAATACAAAATTCATGCTAGACTATTTATCATTTTTGTGTGTATAAAGGGGTAAGAAAATTGCTCGTCAAGCTTATCTCCTTATAAATGGCTGTTGTCATCATATGCCCCATGAAATTTCTAACTACATCTGCACGGCGAAGCACTCATTTGTGGCTATAGTTATGAGTTCATAGGAGATTGGCTCATGCGTGATGTTGTCCATGGCTCAGACTATGCATCTTAATATTAAGCCACATGCAAAAAGCCGTTTTCTTTTTTTTCTTTTTCTTTTTTTTTTTTTTTTTTTTTTTTTTTTTTTTTTTGTGCAATGATTTTATCTCATTGATTATTGACGGATGCATCCCATATCTGATTTTGAGGAACAAGTAGTGATGAGATTGTATACATTTGGGCAGCATAGAAGGATTATATGTCATGTAGTTGACTTCCAAATGTCTGAAGAAACTAGGCTCTATTTTCATAAGTTTATAAAGGATGTCTGTAGGTTGGCACGAGAACATCAAGGTACCGCCAACAGCTACTTTGATTTCAACTTATTCAAGATATTATACGTGATTTAAAGCCATTTTATCTGAAGATATTTTTTCTCATCTTGGGCAGAGATTTGTAGCTTTTAAATTCATGTGATTATTATGAAAGGTGGTAGGAGTTGGAGCTCACAATATGGCAAACATTAGTGTACCAAAAAAATGCTTAGTTTTGTGGTAGCTACCCATGCCCGACATAAAATGTGAGGAAAGCAGTTAGCATTAATCTTTGAATTTTGTATGTGTTTGCTGAATGGGGAGGCTTTACAAATGATATTATGAACTAAAAGATGCTTTAAGGGGACCTAATGGCTTTAAGGTTCCAAAAGGTATGATTGTATACCATTTCCATGTTTATTGCACCATTTCAATAGTTCTTAAAGTTTATTCACTTTTCAGGGAAACAATGCCTAATAGATAATGGCAATGAATTGGATAGTAATATAATTCTTTATATGTTTACGTACGATAGTAAAATTAACAATCAATCCAATAGCACTTCTTGAAGAACTTTATGGTATAAAAGTACTTCAGTAATTCTAATGAATAGCTATTTAATAAAAAGCCATTCAAAAAACTTAATCGAGTTGTTCCAAAGAACGTTAACCCTCAATTATGAACAATAGAATGCATGTTGTCATGACAGTGATATAAGTATACTCTAATAAATTAACTTATTAAAAAAGGAGAAAAGCGACGTACCTCTTTAAACTTTCAGATGCACCTTCCAACCAATATACTAGAAGAGACTTATCTAGGCGGTGACCATAAGTATGAGTAAGAAAACAAAGGGTGCCATTCCTGTAAAATAAGAAAGGTTACAAAGGAGTATTCAAATTTTGGCTTACTCAAATCTGCATTTAATTAATTAAGAGCAAACAACCCAAATATAATCATAGGCAAATTCTAAAACAATTGAGTTAATGATTGTGTCTATCTTGAAACGATCATGTATATAGTCATGTTGGTTCCTGGTACATTGAGTGCTTAAGTAATCAGATTGAGACGAGCCTTTAATTTTTGACATGGTTTCGTCTCATCGGATAAATAGTTATGGTGTCCACTCCCCAATTGCTGCATGGTGCATATGAAAACATGGAATGAATACATTCAGGAGATGAGATAAAAACAAGTTTGTGATGGAGGATTTCTTTTTTTTAACAACTTTTTTTATACAATAATATATTAGATATGATATGACTACAATAAAAAACAACTACCAAAAATTATCTGAGCACAAAAAAAAAATATAAATATAAAAAGTCAAATACGTTAAAAAAATAAAGTCAAAGGATGAACCACCTAGCAACAAACAAAAGCAACAAAGCAAAGCTCATTTTACCTCCTTGCATAAATCCTAAACAAAAGAAAAGAGAGAATGTTTTTATTGCCGCCTCATCTGGTAATTAGTAAATAAGATTTAAAATATCCTATCCACCAGAATGTCATCACTCATAATGCCCCATCATAATCATCAGGTTGCAAAGCAACATGATCATCTATGTCTTTACCAAATGAAGGGAGAGATGGAGCTTCTTAAATTGGAGAATACAATGATGAAACCATTTCTACAATGCTAGTGAGGTCAAGAATAATAGTCTCAAGATCCCAAGTCAAATATTTTTCAAGCTTTGAGCTCAAATTTGAGCTGAGGGCAAAGGAACAACTACAATTATAAGAGTATGAAGTGTCTGGACATCATATCTCGATGTGCCTAGAAACCATCAAAAGAATGTGCTCAAAGATCTTATAGAAAGAATATGATGTGAAACCAAATGCGCAGGAGCTTATTAAGAAATTTCAGAGTAAATGGCAATGTAATCCAAATCAATAACTTATTGTTATGACAAGCAAATTCATTAAAGAATATTAGTTTTCCACTTGCTTAGGCGAAGGAGTACATGTAAGTTAACCAAATCTCATAGAGAAACAAAGATAGCAGCAATACTAAAAGCTCTTAATCAACAATCCACGATTTAATAATGAGAGTTTTCACCTCGGGGATTGATCACTCTGCTACACTAGGCTTTAGCAGGAGAAGGTCTTCAGCACACCCAACGATGCTAAGAGGACGGTCGCAACACCAAGAGTCTTAATCCACGGAAAGGTCGACGGTGGTGGAGGTGGCACGGATGGATGGCCATTGATGGTCCACACGTAATCCGAGAATTGATCGTCGATGACGTCCACAAGGGTGGGGAGGATTCAGTTCAAGTAATCTTCAACGTTGTTGTCAAAACCAAACCCGACGTCAAAGAATGGTGATCGAACGATGTGGATGTCTCCGTAGGCATCGAGTACGAATCTGCTATCAACTTCGGGATCGTCCATACGTCATTGAAGTTGAGGTGGGAAGGCGTCGTCTTCTTCTTCTCTTGGCTTCAAACTTCCCAAAGGGGAGCAAGGAGATGGCCGGCCAAAGTCGGGAGGGAAAGGGGAAGGGGTCGGCTATAGAGGTAGGGGGAGGCGGCTAGGGTTTGGGGAGATTAGGTTTTGGTCGAGTGTTTAAGAGATTTAATCAAAATCTGAATTTAATTTCAGATTTGAGTAAATTTGGAGGAAGGAGAATTTTGAATCAAGAGTCTTGAATGCATTAATGGAGCATTAAAGGGGATTTCACCCTCATAGGGCCGGCGTCATGTGAGAGGGGAAGGAGTGATTAGGGTGACTTGATTACTTTCCAAATGAGTTTGAAAATTGTGGGGGGAAAATAATGAGTCCTCCACTCAAATTCCATTTGAATTTTGAATTCGAAAAACTTCCTTATTTAGACTTTTGCAAATAAGGAAAGTTTTTTAATTTTGAAATTTGAATTTCAAATTTATGTAACTCCTTTCTTTAATGCAAGATCAAAATTAAGGGAGGCTCATTATGAAGATCGAAATCATCATAACGGCCATGGCTAAGGATGATGGCCGGCGGCAATAAGGGAGGGGGAGATCTTGTCGTCGGGTCGAGGTGGTTTGGTGATGGTTGGATTTGGAGTGGAGAAGCTAGTGAGATGAATGGGTGGGGGATTTGAACCACTAATGGAGATGGTTCGGAGGATGGAAAGGAAAACAACAAAGGGAAAAGAAAATTACCACGAGCCGTTGACTCTTCCAAAGACTGGTAGGCCTTGCACTTGCTCACCTTGAGCTCTCTCTCTCTCTCTCTCTCTCTCTTCACTCTGGCTCTCATGCAAGAAGAAGAAGAAGAAACAAACAAATTTTCATTCATCAATCATCCCTTCATTACAATAGAATTGACCTATATATACGTCTCAACATAAAAGAAGGAACAAAGGCTAAATTTCCCTCAGGGCTACAACATGACTCAACTCATAATAGGGGTACAATAGGAATTAACATCTATTTCTACCAAAATTCTAGCCATAGAAGACCTCAAGCAATGAGCAATTGTAGCTTCCAATTGCAAAGGTTTACCTATGATGCACTGGCACTTTGTGATAACAAAGAGTGTGGTGTCTGTCAAGCATATGCAAGACTCATGAATTTGCCTAGCATGTACCGAACAAATGTTGGACATACAACCTATGTATTCAATTAACAAAATAAAAAAATAATATAAACGCATATCAAACACATGTGTCATGAATAAAAAATTTTAACTTAAAAATATATCACATAATACCTTTATTTAAGCCATGTATCATCTTATATATATATATATAATTTAGATAACTTAATAGTTAATGAACATTAAGTTTATTTTCCCTATTCCGCTCTAATTTTCATTAATTTTTTATAACACATTTTTATAAAATAATCAATTTTCTTAACTTCAAGCTAAAAATCTTCCATTTTATAAAATTATATCTCGTCGATTGAGTTTAGCATATACTTAATAAAATTAAATGGGGTAAACTTTGAATTAGTTCACTATGTGTACATGGCCAATTTATCCCCAAAGTATCACATTGCTCAAATTTAGTCTCTCGACTATACAAATTGATCCAAAATAATCCATTTTGGACTAAATTGGGATCAATTTTACACAGTTGAGAGACTAAATTACGATCAATCTTATATCACAATTACAACTTGGGGTCATTTTGAATCAATTTTGTATAGTCAAACGACTAAATCGGAGCAACGTGATACTCTTAAGACTAAATTACCCACACACCAATAGTTTCAGGACTATTTTAACATTTTTATAAAATTTAAAAATGCATTTTACTTTATAAGCAATTGAAATAATTTTTTTATTATATGAATATTTTTTAAAATTTATTTAATTTGTTTAAGTAATATATAGGCTTTTCAATTTTTAAGATACAATATTATAATATCATATCCAATTTGTGTGTGTCATATATTTTGAATCATATGTGTTGCTTGTGTCCGTGTCGTATTGTATTTGTACCCCATTGTCCATATTGATGCATAATAAAAGTTTATCAAAGATAGAACCTGAAGAGTATAAAGTAGATTGGTTGAAAAAAATATAAGAGAAGTTGAGAAAAGGCTAAATAAAAAAAGTGATGCTAATTTACAAATGAAATCCACGTTACTAACAATCCATGGAAAAACATTTATATGACTTTCATCTACCTTTACAAAGAAGATCAAATGAAATCTTTGAGATATCTCGTGCTACTATTCACTAGCTTATGGTTATAATATAAATAGTTGTATTAAAACCTGGATAGATATTTGTGCTTATATCAAATTGAATCAGCAAATTAAAAAAGACATAATATTTGAGAAAAAACAATTAAGATTATTTTGCAAGCAATTTGCGTGTGATAATCCTTATACTTCTAGGCAAAGATCTACGAAAATTTATAAGGAAAAATATAATAAAAAAGAAAAAATGAAACATCCTAAAAATTATAAGCACCACAAAATTCCCTCTAAAGATTAAACTACAAAAAACATAAAGAGGTAAAATGCTATAGATGTAGTAAATATGGTCACTATTCCAATAAATGCAACACTAAAAAGAAAATAAATGAGTTAAAAATAGATGATAAATTAAAACAAAATCTTTTGAAAATATTTTTAACTTCTGATACTCAATTATCATATTCCTTTAATAATGCTATTGTAAAACCCGAAAATGTCGTTTTAGGCTTCGCAAAGATCTACGAAAATTTATAAGGAAAAATATAATAAAAAAGAAAAAATGAAACATCCTAAAAATTATAAGCACCACAAAATTCCCTCTAAAGATTAAACTACAAAAAACATAAAGAGGTAAAATGCTATAGATGTAGTAAATATGGTCACTATTCCAATAAATGCAACACTAAAAAGAAAATAAATGAGTTAAAAATAGATGATAAATTAAAACAAAATCTTTTGAAAATATTTTTAACTTCTGATACTCAATTATCATATTCCTTTAATAATGCTATCTCCAAATTTGAATCAAAATTGTAGGAGCCATGTTTTAATAGTCGTGACAAATCAAACTAGTATAAATCCATTATGGAAATGTACAGATTTTATACTCTAACTCATACCAAAACGAGCAAATTATAAAAATTCTAGTCAAGTAATAAAGCGAAGGCAAAAACATAATAAAAAAAAATCCAAGAAAAGGCAATAATCAAGGCAAAATAAGAATACTCCCAATTTAATTCTATCAAAATAGGAATTTTAATCCCACCTTCCCACATTTTTCACATTATCATATCATGTCAATCCTAATACTAGCTACAATCTCGTAGTTATAACCATTTCTATCATTGTAGTATCGTTGGGATGCATGTGAAATAATCGCTATAAATATTGTCATTTCATATAATAATATAGCTAAACTCATTGTCACCACAGTAGAAAATTTATATCAAAATAATAAAAGCAATTATTCCGGTGCCCGCACAAATCAATTAAATATTATTTAATTAGTATATAAATTTCCTGAAACCCTTAAACTGAAGGGTTAAGCTTTCGTGTTGTAACAATTATTGCTATTATTTTATAGACAACACAGCATGGTAATAGTTGTAAAATTATTATCATAAAAAAATATCTAGTTAAATATTTGCATTGAATATTTGCCTACAAAAAGTCTTGGGAGTTTATATGCTCATCAAAAATAAACAGCGGGTATGAAATCATAACTTCAAATTATTTGTTATAAAGTGAAGCACAAATACACAACACAAAATCAGATGCTTTTGTGCTTTGAATGACTTTAAAATTCAAATTCCGGAAAAGACAAAGTTCGTCGAACCTAATATATTAATAATGTTAGGTTGCAACCATCAAGAAACTATACTAGAATATAACGAAGTATCCTTTTTCATGCATAAGTGTTTAGAGGATGAGTCAATAAAAAGCATAGGTTACATCCGGTTTAACAAATAAATTTTAGAAAGCATAAAAAATTTATCATGTACATCAGTAAATATAAGAAAGTTGCATACAAACATTCTGAAAGTGTTATGTGCTTGTCAGATTGTAGATTGTACTAACCAAAGCCATGATCCCTTTATGATCCCATCTTTTATACGATCCATAGCATCTACCGTCTTCAATTTTTTCTCTTGATGAGGCATCTTTCTCGTTTCTTTGCAAGACTAATGATGGCAGGGTTTTTAGAATTACAAGTTTAATGGTATATCTGCCTATCTAGGCTTAGACTCTTGTACAATACAGCCCTGCATATTCATACCTGATATAAAACCATAGCTGCAAGTTCCATCAAACCATGATATATGTTCCCTGGATGTCCCAACTTATCATCCCTAGATACATCACTCCTAGAAGACATGTTGCAATCATTGTGAAAATTATACAATAAAATGAAAAAATTAATATCATTACAACAAACTAAAAATGAGAAGTACCAAGGAATCCCATAAGAAACTGCAATGCCTTGATCTAGTTCCTTGGCAACAACATCAAGAAGTTTTTCTACTAACGAAATCTCCTCTGAAGTATTTCGGGTAAGCTTCAATTGTACACTAGCGTAAAGAATGAAGGAGGCCTATAAAGGAAAAAATTTAACAAAATTGTCATTTAAAATGAAGAAAAGAATCAGCATACGTAGAAGTACTAGACCTTTAACCCTCTGTCATGAGTCGTAAGCCAAAATCGAAAAAGAAACTCCTGAACAGCAAAATGAATTTTTGTTGCAAGATCTCCAAGATTAGGACCATCCTTCATCAGATATGTGTTAATGCATTCCATAAGCTTACGTGAGTACTTTCCTTCATCTCTGACAAGGTTAAAGATTCATCAATTTAGAAACCTACCTTTAGCAATTATAAGGGGTTGTAGAAAATTGGATGTGTTTGGCACAAAATTACTACTAACTTCTTTTTTTTTCCTTGATAATATGCTTTAAAAAGTGACTTAAATTCTATTGCATCAAAAAAGCATGTTCTAGCTAACTTCATTATGATACCATATGTAACCAAAAACTCCTACAAACCTTAAAGAAGAGAACATCTCAACAAAACCAGCAACAATATCTTCCCTGATATTATCTGGAAAATCACCAGGCGGGTTTTCCAGAAGAACGTGAAGCGTTAAAGCAGCACGAAATGCTTCTTCCTTCAAGCTGGATGGCATAGAACCTTTCATGCTAATAGTTGATACCATCTTATTCATATATAGCAATATAAGACCTGCAAAGTGGAAGGGACCATAACTTAGCAACAAAATCTTTTGTCTCATTAGCAATTTGAGAACGTTGTAAGGAAGGATGAATAAAAAAAAAACTCATAAAGTTTCCTACTAGAATACATGCGACTCTTCATCTGATAACGGTATTCATTTATAGACAGCAGGTGTCGTAGGATACCGCTGTACTCCATCTGGAATATAGAAACATCCTTTAAAACATCCCATATGTGATTGAATAGCGGCTTAATGACAGAACCCAAAGGCAATTGAGCTCCTGAGCATTGCAGGTTAGTTTTCAGTAAGATCAATTAAAGAATCAAAAACAATTGCAAAAAATACGTTGCAACCAGTTGAAGCTGCTACCGGAACTAGGAGTATTGTTGTGCAAATAAATGACTTAGTTCAGCATGCATTAAATTCCAATCCATGTCATGGCCACTTACGTACAGTAAAACAATCTTGCCCAACAAACTAATGCAGATTTACCAGGTTAGAGCAATTATTTGTGCATTCAACCTCACCCAACTCGATGGTGCAGATGAATCCCAACTCCATGGTGCTATAAAATCAAATCAATAAACTCATCAAAATGCCAACCCACGTTAAACACATATAGTACGTATAAACATGCATGGGATGAATTCTCATGAAGATTGAAGACACAAAGCATTACTCAAAATGAAATTGAAGATGTAAATTATTGAATTTGCACATATTGTTAGCTAGAATTTACGCTAAAACTTGCCAAACCATTTTTTGAGCCATACAAATCCTGTTGCCTCATTAAGTCTCATTTTTCTCTCATTCTATGCTAAATCTAAAATTTATTAAATCCTTGAGGATGTAAGATTTAAGCGATTTATACCATTTCTCCTCAATGTGCATCATATTCTACTTCATTTAAATCCTAAATATTGAAAATATTTGCCAAGCAATTTACTAGAATTTAACAAAAGTTAACATCAATCATGCCAAATAGTTTTAAGGATTAAATATCTCCAAGATTTAGATTTAAAAGATTTACTAAATCATACTTGTAGCCAAACAACCTCTAAGAATTACAACCCTAACCGTATATAGAATAATAGAAAAATGTCCACTAACCAAATGCCTAAAATACCCACAAAAATACTAAGTCAATATAGTCATGGCACTAATAGTGACATTAAAATCAAATAGACTGGTGACATGAATATGACATAAGATATTAAAATCAACAACACTTATAACACAAAAATACAACTAAAAAGACTGATACAACAGTTGAATTGATAGAACCGTAAAGAAATCGAGCGACCCTTTGATGGCCCGCTAATTCTTTGAAACTAACCAGATAGCTTGTGATCTTCAGCACACTGAATAGCTATTCGTAGGGTCTTTGCCAGTAGCAATTTTGGATGGCGCTTCTTGCTTGCTGATATCTCCAACTCGATGCACTTGGTGAGCAGGGAGAATATAAATGGCCACGACTCTTCTGCAAAAATTCAGCAAATACCGAGCCTATGAACACGAGAAAAAAAAACAAATACTACTAATAAATCCTCAACAACAGTAAAAACCAAAGCAAACTAACCATGATGAACTCAAGGAAAAAAAAAACAAAGACTTCTAATAAATCCTATACAACAGTAAAACCAGAGCCGGCTAACCATGAGGAACTCCACCAGGTCCGATCCTTGCAGTGTTCTTCGCGAGCAGCCGGCATAAGCTAAAGGACCTCTCACCTTCAAGCCAACTATTAAGGAGCCGTATTCCTTCCTGGAAATCATATAGCCGAAGTTAGCAGACGCAATAGGGGTTTGGAAGGTTTTTCTTCTTTTTTTTTACTTTTGCTTGCGGTTTGAAACCCGTCACGCAATTTTGAGAAGGAGGCAACTCTAAATCTATCCTAAACAATGCGCTCAAACTCCAGTTTGTAGCAAGGGCAGGGAACCTTACATCGCGGGATTTAGGTTTATTTGAGGAGAGCTTTGAGATGATCTCTTGGACGTCTCTTGATGTCGCCATAAGTCTCCTGCAACCAACGAAAAACTTATCTCCTCATCGACTGCTGCTATTTTAACGTCAGGGTTCACCTCCGTCGCTGGGTTAGGAAGACAATGGACAGCGCGGGAGAGCGGGGAGCACCTCCAAGAAGAAAAGTGGGCAGTGGGAAGTGGGAACGCTGGCTTGTAAATGGAAGCGGAGGTTTTAGATGGCTGGGGTTTTGGGGCAAATTATTGGGTCAGGTGATCGAAGCCTTCTCTCCGTTCGGTCGTCAATATAGAAATGCGACATCTGTTAGGTGTTTTTTTAATTTAATATTTACGTTTTATGTCTTTTCAGAGTTAGCGACCCGACCCGATAACGCTTTTCATTTGAATTCCGGAAAATAAAGAATGGAAACGCCGCGCGACATCTTCAATGTTACTCCAGCTCCAGCTCTAGTAAGCGCTCTCAGATTCCTCCATTTCCTTCGGTTCTGCATTAGCTAATTCCTGCCGGAGGTAGACGACGAACCTGTAGAAGATCATCAATTAGGAAGAGGTATGGTTGCGCCTAACTTGCGCTTTACTTGCGCTTTCGTTGCGTTTAAGTTATATGTTAAATTTTAGGGTTTAGGGTTTGGTTATAGTTTTACCATTGTTTGTTTAATGTAATGTACTGTTCAAATGTTTATTTTCTGATTTTTCACGCTTCTTCTCTTCGTAAACGAATGACTTTAATGGTTTAGTAATAGTTGTATAACTAGCATATATGTTAAATGTTGTGTTCAATTTTTATTTTTTTTTCCTGAATTTAAACCTTCTTTTAAGCTAAATAATTACGAAATGTTCAATGTTGCGCTATGGTTCTGATTTTTCTTATTTTTATAGATGAGGACGTCGTATCAAAGGCCAGTAACATCTAGATGTTATGTTACTTCTTTCCGGAAACATTGTGATGCTTATGTCGAGATCATTGATGATGAAGTGGAGCAAACATTAAAGAATCTGAACATTCATCAATTTTTGAAGTTCCCCGCTTTCCAGCAGTGTATACCACTTCTTTTTGAGGTTCTCAAATTTTGGAGTCCTGCTGATGAAGGCTTCATCGTCCTGGGTCATGTTCTGAAATTCACTTCGGACGAGGTTGCTTTGTTGATAGGTAATATTTTGAATATGGAATTTTTATAGCTATATGTTTTTTTAACTTTAATGACTGAAATTTTCTGACATGTTTGTCAAACAGAGGCATTGATATAAAATGGAGGATTGATCCTCTAAATGGACCTCTGTCAACTGAAGTTAAAACAGAAATTTCAAAATTAGACAGATTATCTGATAATGCAACAAAAATTAAGACATTTATTATGTTTTTGTTATCTAACATTTTCTTTCCACTAAATAGTCATAAAATCCCTAGAAGGCTCACAACTGTTGCAAATAATTTAAGTGAGTTCGCTTCCATTAATTGGGCTTCATGCTTAAGGAACTTCATGGTTGAGGAGTTCAACACAATTTTTGAGAAGTTTAAACTCCAAAGACCATTGGGTTACATCAATAATTTTTTTCCTCTTCTACTGGTAAGTTTCCACTCCTACTGGTTATTCTACATGTTTAATGTTTTTTAATATTAAATTTAAAATTTTTATGTTTGGCATTATACAGATTTGGTTTTTGGAACATTTTTCTTTGAATAAACCAACCGATTCAGAATTAAGACCGCGTTTTCTGAGATGGCAGGGGTATAAAGATTTATACTTTACTCAAGAGAATGCAGCAAAAATATTTAAATTTTTAAAGAAAATTGAGGTAATTTTTTAGCTTACATGATGCAAATTACACTAAGGTTGCGCTATAGTTGCGCTATGGTTGCGCTATAGTTGCGCTTTAATAAATTTTTCTGTTTTTTGCAGATTTTTCTTTGTCTTGAAAATGTTAGCAATGAAGAGGCCGAAAAATACGGGGCTGACATTATTGCCATACAGAACTTGGAAACCCGTTCATGTCATGAACCACAGAAATTGCAGTCACCCCAAAAAATTAAGGCTTCCGCAAGAAAAAAACTTGACACCACCCCACCTCCCTCTCCCCCTCTCTCCCCTGATTCTCCACATATTGAACCACCAGAAACTCAACCTCTGCCGCCGCCAACTCAACCGTCTACTCGTCCACCTACTCAAAAATTTTCCACCAGTCAACCTTCTGCTGAACAGCTATCCATTAGAAGGGCAGATTTAGAGGCTATTCAGAATAAATATTTTGAAATATTTGAAAAAATATTGAATAAAATTCAAAAAAATGTGGGAGCTAGATTGGATCGGGTTGAAGATATTGTGGAGAAACTTCAGGCAGATCAAGACTCCCTGAAGTACAAATTTATTGAATTTCAAATGCAGTGTGATCACAATCAAGAGAAGCCGCATATAGCTAGTTCTGCCTCCAGCTTTCAATCAGTGAAAAATACGGCTTTGTATCCTTCAAGACAAGCACCAATACAAGTTGTTCCTCCACCTCCACCAATGGCCAAAGAACTTCTTCCACAACAACCAATACCTCCACATCCACCATTGGCCGAAGAACTTCTTCCACAACAACCAATACCTCCACTTCCACCATTGGCCAAAGAACTTCTTCCACAACAACCAATACCTCCACCTCCACCATTGGCCAAAGATGTGCCACCACCAAAAGATAGTTCATAACCAAAAAGAAAAAAGAGAAGATGATGAAAAAGAAGAGAGTTCATAAAAAAAATTTGTACCATACGTAAAGAAGAAGACCAAAGAGGTTATCTCTGTCGATAATATAATAGTTGAATCACGACCTGTATTGGAAATTATGGATTATCCAGGGAAGCCTTTTCTATCAGAGCAAAAACAACAATTTATGGATGAATGTTTCAAAAAATTTAATATAAAGTAAGTTTAGTTGCGTTTTAGTTGCGCTATAGTTGCGCTATTGTTGCGCTATGGTTGCGCTATGGTTGCGCTATAGTTGCGCTATGGTTGCGCTATGATTGCGCTATGGTTGCGGTATAGTTGTGCTATAGTTGCGCTACGGTTGTGCTATAGTTGCATTATAGTTGCTCAACGATTGTGCTATGGTTGCGCTCTAACTTTATATTTTTCTTTGTTTTTTGTAGGGAGCACAAAATATTTGCATCTGAAAACATTGAAATAAAAAGATCAGATATTGACTTTCTGCTCACAAATGATTGATTAGGTGATAACCATGTTGATGCATTTGCTTTCTTTTTACTTAAGCAGAGTAGGTTAATGGCGGAGAAATTTCAACGTTATTTGTATATTTCTCCATTGTACAGGGTAAGTATAAATAATATTTTAATATTTTTTTTCATGTTTATTTTTCCTTATAGAACTGAATTATTGCAGGTATACAAGTCATTAAATCTGGATTATCAAATTTTTATCAAACACATTAATCTAGTTTCAATTGTTGTATAAAATGTGCACATACTGTTATATTCTGTTTATTAATGAGCATTCTCTAAAATCTGTTATATTCCGTAAAGCGCAACAATAGCTAAACTATAGCGCAAGTATAGCGCAACCATAGCGCAACCATAGCGCAAGTATAGCGCAACCATAGCGCAAGTATAGCGCAACCATAGCGCAACCGTAGCGCAAGTATAGCGCAACCTTAGGGCAAGTATAGCGCAGCCATAGCGCAACCGTAGCGCAAGTATAGCGCAAGTATAGGGCAACCATATATTTCGTAATTATTTAGCTTAAAAAAGTTTAAAATAAAAAAGAACCAAATTACATAAGTCCAAATAGATGATTTATAAAAAATTTTTTATTACAACCAATAAATGAAATCATTAAGTCCAAATAAATATTATTACATTTCAAATTTAAACTATGTCGCAATTTTATTACAATCAATAAATGAAATCATTCAGTCCAAATAAATATTATCATATTACATTGCATATTCATTAAATTCCAACTCCGAAGAAAGAAAATCCATCATCAACTTGGTGTATTCAGCTCCAGGTTGGCTTGATGGTATGCCGGTTATATATTCCTCACTGAAACATTCAGGCATGCTTGAAAAGTTCATCTGTGTTGAACTAGGATGTGTTGAAGAAGGTTCATCTATTGGGTTATCCCCCACCAAAGGCTTCTTATCTGTAAGAAACTAGAGTTTTAGTCTTAGGATTTGGAATTAAATAATTAACAAGTTATTAAAAGCTTACTCTTAGGTCGTTTCTTCTTTTCCCAATGGCTTTTCAGTCTTGCATTTGATATGCCTTTAGGTCTACGCTTTAGAGGATCTTTCAAATTAGCAGTTCCACCTTGGGAACTAGCAACATCCTTCTCATTTCTTTTCTTGCCACCAAGAATTAGGTATAATTTTTTATACATGTCTTGCAATGAGGAAAGAATAAACTCCTCTGCCTCTTCATTCCCTTGAGCTTCCGTGCTCATTTGATATGCAAACCTGCTCACCTGATTTCTGAATATGAATCCCCTACCACTTTGGAAATTATTACTTCTTTGAGAATTAAGGAAGTAACCTGAATAAAAAACTTGTCGAGCCCTTGCTGACCAACGAAGTAATAAGTACTTCTCAGGGAATTTAGCCATATCCAACTGTTTAAAAACCCTCAAACAATGAGAACACAGCAATCCCATGGTTTCATACTTCTTACAGCTGCATTGAATGTTACCTTCTGTTGCATCAAAGTGAACAACCCAAGGATGGTTTTGATTCTTTTTCTCTATGTAGTTGACTATATACTTTGAAGAATCAGTCGAGACAAAATCTATACTCATTTCTCCCACAGCCTTTATAAATTCTTCCTCAAAAATTGAATATATTCTTCTTGAGTAATATCTAGCAGCTTGTTTTAATATTGAGCTGTTCTTTATCACGGGAACAATTTCAGATTGACTGCATTTGTAATCCTCATCTTGCTCATTTCGCCGCCAATTCATCAGTACCTTTTCCAAGCCAAGAAAGCAATCAGTTAATGAACTTGTTGGCTTTGAAATGCCATGACACACATTATTAGTACACTCACTACGCTGCGTTGATAAAATGCCCATGCAAAAGGAATCCTTGTTGAAAGCAGTTGACCACTTTCTCCTTATCTTATAAAGATCCTGCAACCATTCATGATTATGAAGATTCCCTTCCTTGATCATTTCATCCCGCTTCCTCAAACACTTCCTCAGAATCACACCACCTCATACACTTATGGAAGAGTCCTCTAA